AGAGTTTCTAAAATTATTTTTATAAATTTTTCCCATGTTAAGTGGTGCGTCCAGCCCCCCAAGGTTCAATGTCACTTTGTGAGAGGAAATCAGAAAAGGTTTCAGAAACAGGGCTAATATCTGCTCCAGCCCCACTGAAAGTAGAGACGGCACGAATCTCCAGCCCAGCTTCACCACAGATGGAGACCACTGATATAGCTGCTCCCCTGCTTACGCTTCCAGCAGAGCTCATTAGCACAGGTAACAGGGCATTGAGAATATTTATTTCTGACCATTTTCATTTTGTACATTGCAAATTTTGTAATTGCTTAAAGGTGATTGAAATAACTTCTTACCAAAGACAGTAAATGTTTTTAGCCATTAAAGTGATTGTTCGTATGTTTAGATGAGGGTCACGAGTCTGACATCGAGCAGATCCTGGTGGAACCTGCAGGTGGAGATCCGGTAGAAGAGGGAGAGGAGGAAGTGGATAAGAAAGAGCAAGTGAAGGACACAGAAGCAGCTAAGGAAACACGCAGCAGAACTTCATCTGCTTCTTCAGAAGACTACATAATCATCCTCCCTGATTGCTTTGACACAAGCCGTCCATTAGGAGAGTCCATGTACAGCTCAGCCCTGTCGCAGCCTGGAGAAGAGCCTGCAGAGGGGAGCAAACTAGAATCAGTGGAGACCGAAGAGCTCCAGAGCCCTGTTGCTGCTGTTAGTGCGGATGCTAATGACATGCTCTGTGCCTCCCAGACTCTGGATGCTGTGCCGCTCACCCCTGTGATTGTAGTGGCACCACAATCTTTGGTCAAAACCTGGTAAGTTTATACAGAGCACAAGTCAGCAGTAATAGACTGGGCTCAGAGGTCAGTTAAACTAGTGATGCATCCAAATTTTGCCAACCGGAAATTTTGCCAGCAGAAACAGCAAAACATAGTTTTGCAGGGCCAAAATCATTGACTGAAACAGGGATGAATAATCAGGACTTTTCCGGTGATGCATTTTGACAGTGTTAAAAAGGGTGCTAAAGTAGTATAAGGTCCACCCAGTTGGCCCAAACAGGGTATCCAATGGTGGCTGAAGGTTATGGGGTAACAAGGTGACAACATGATCTACTAGAGTCAATAATTTCAGAGTAAACATAATCAATTAAAATATAACAATTTATTATCATTCAGGTAAATCTTACTCGGATAAATCTAAGAGTAAAAGATGCATACCTTGCTTAAGAAAAATACATAGTATGGAGTGTATACACTACGGGCTCATCTGGCTACAGAAGCTCGCTGATCTTTTTGCAGCATTTCCTTAAGTACCCAGACCACGACAAACATTCACTTAACGGAGACAGAAACTAACAATTAGAATTTGCATTGATCAAGGCCTAGACGTGGAGAGTTTACACCTTTTGGGGACAGATGGTAATTTGCATGAAAGACACTGGGAAAGAGCACACCCTCCACATTAAACAACATATCTCTAAACTCTTAGGATCTGTATTACCTTTTAGTTTACTCCTTGTAAGTTTGAGACCATTCTACCAGTTGCAATGAGACATTTCAAATGATACCAAACATGACTGTGAATATCACTTGCATTCATGTGGAACATTATATTATGATATTGACCATTCTGAGTGAGCCGAAGGAAGTGGACGAGGTTGAGAAAGACAAATGTCTGTATGTTAAGACAAAAGACAAATTAACATACAGACAGGAAACAAATGTCTGTATGTTAATACATTGTGTTTGTATTGTCCGTATCGCAGAAGATCAAAGTGTCTGAGGTTCTTTAAGTCTTACAGTAGCAATATGTAAAATGTGTACAGCTAAAATATCGAGAAGTGACTCATTGCAAAGGACTTTACTATGAATGGCTTATTTTCATCTGAGAACATGACATGCTGAACGGCATACTAGTTAACCAAACTGTGTTTTTAACCCAAGTGTTTTCAGCTAAAAGTTTTAATTTTGCTTTCTGTGTTTCTGTAAAAAAAAAATAATAATTTCAGTGCTTCACTCATTTAAATCTGGAAATAAATGTTTTTTATTTATTTATTTATGGGGGGTACATTGACCACTCACAATATCCTGCCCTAAAACTCTGTATGCACACATTCCTATTCCATATCACAGCCTAGATTTCCTTCATCACATCCTCATAACTTAATGTAACTGAAACTGATATGTTAAATTTAGCTTAATATATCTAAAATCTCTTTATCCAGCACAGAGACACAAGAGCAGATAGAACATGGAGCAGAGGAGCAGGAGAGGAGTAATCCTACAGAGCCAGGAGAAAAGGAGAAAGGTGAGTGGAAACACAATGGGATATTAAAGTATTAAGCCATCACAGGTTGTGAATTAGTGCCTGCCTTTTTATATGATTATGGGGTGTTAGATGTGATACAAAGTAGACAATATGATAAAAGATATACAAAACTACATTTGAAAGTTGATCTGTTTTTTTTTATTTTTTTATATATATATATATCTAGACTCTGAGCCTAATCAACCTGACCCTGAGAACTCGGTAGCATCTGCTAAGTCTGAAACAGAAGAGCTCAGGTGAGTTACACAGCACACAACCACTCGTTTCGTCCTCATGGAAATGATTGCATTGTGTGCTTTTCTTCACTCGCATTCTTTCTCTCTCTCAATATTGTCTCTCCTCAGGGCTAATAGCATCACAGGTGGATTGGTGAAGGGTGCCCTGTCCGTGGCAGCATCTGCCTATAAAGCTCTTTTCACTGGACAGACTGGGTCTGAGAAGGTGAGTTTGGGAGCCGTTCATGCAGGATGCAGAATGGAAAAAACATTTTGAAATAATCTGAGCTTCCTTTCAAATCAAAATGTATTTTGCCACTGTGTAAAAATAATAACATTAGACAGTAAATACATGTACATAGTACTGTATAAGTGCCTAGTGTACAGTGAAATATTTGGGACATATATCACTAGTAAAAAAACTTTTTTGGTTGTGTAGCTCCCAGAAGATGCCGCTTCTCATGACGCCATGATGGCCGTGCTGGTAGAGATGGGCTTTGGTGACCGAGCACTAAATCAGCGTCTGCTACAGAAACACAACCGCAACCTGCTGGATGTGGTAAACGAACTGGTGCAGATGACTGACAACGACTGGTACACAACACGCTACTGAGATGCTGGTCAATTATTTTGTTTCTCTTATATCTCTGTGTTTTCATTTTCTTTTTTTTCTCTGTGCAATCAGCAGCCCATTCCATGATACAGACTCTTTCGTTCCATTTTGGTTGTAAAGATAGTGTGTGAGAATCTGTCTGCTCCAATAATCATTAGAGAAGCAGTTCATCACCATTATAACTGTGCTTGTTAAAGTTTGTTGTTAGTGGGCATTAATGTTTTCACAAAGATGATCATGGGTAGCTAATGAACACTAATAGGTATTTAATAATCCAAAGCTATTCAAGAAATATGCCATGCTTTTAATAAAAAATGATTTAAAAGATAGTGTAATTAACAACAAATCATTCTAATAGTTAAATATGAAAAGCTCTGCAATGTGACTGAATATTTTTAATATTTATAGTGATTTGTGTTACCAGGTTAAGAACATGTTTTGGAAAAGTGCAATCGATCTGACTTTGTGTGGACTCTTAATCATCAGCCAAGACCAAATAGATTAATTACTTATGTCATCTTTACATGGACACAATATGAAAAATTTTATTATTCCTTACTGGAGATGTCAATATTAAGTTTAGTGTGTGAATGTGTGGTTTTTCCCAGTAATTTTGAACTGCTGTTGCTTATAATACATGTGGGAATTATTATTATTATATTGAAGACCATTTATTTGTTTCTAAAAAGTCCACTAAATAGGGCACATACTGCACTTTGTTAATGCGTTGCCATTTAAATATCTGAAAAATGTCATGGCTTGATGCAACAATGCATTTGAAGACTTAAATGGACTGAAATGGACAGTGTAGAGTATATTAATTCATGCTTTAAATGGTCAAAGAGGCAAATGCAATCATGACATATTTGACTCTTTCTTGGTAAGATGCATCAAAGTGAGAGACGAAAAAACAGCCAACTGTTCATTCCAAAAAAAATAAAAATCAATCAATCAAATCATGCAAATTATATATATTTTGATAATTAAATAGCTATTGTATTTAGTGTGATGAAGAATCACACTAAATACACTAAATACTCAGCACTTTTCTTCAACGGGAGATTTTGAAACTACCTACTGTCTAGAGTGTGGAAAGCATTCCGTATACATCATTTACTGTCTCCTGATTTGCTTTAATCCATGAAGCTCTTACAAGTGGTGCAGCCATCATTTAACTGACCGATCATCACCCACTTGTTTTTCCAGAGCTAGGGTTTAAACATATGTTTTAGCACATTCCTTAGGTAAGCCGTAAGATGGTCTTGGTGCTTGCAGCAATCAGTAGAGGTTCTGGGTGGAACTGTCTGGATCAAGTGATTGTAAAGCATAATTAGTGAAGGCAGATGCGCCTCTGTGTTTGATGCCTGAATGGAGTATTCAGTGTCTCTGCATCCAATGTACACATCTGTCTGTAATAAATATCCTAATAAGTCTTACTTCTGCTTTCAGTCTTTGATAACAATGCACCACAAAATCCAAAATATAGGGTTCTTTAAAGAGTATTAAACTTTCCCATTACACTTAATCCACATGCTAGAAATATAGCTACTGACACGTTTGGAGCGGCTTGTTTTATAATATAGTTCACATGGCTAAAAAAATTGCTGCGTCACCTTTATTGTGGATTGTGTGTAGGAAGTTATGCACACTGCACACTAAAAGCATCTGCAGTTTTTTTTTTCTAGCAAACCACTAGTTTTCAGAAAGTGCAATCTTTTTCTCTCCATTGATAACTTTACACATATTTATTGAAAAAAAGACAAGGAAGTTTCAGTGAGACTAAACCGTGATTTAGTGTATTCATCAAGGTTTCTCTTTATTTTAATAGACGTGCATGCTTGCAATACAAAAAAAATTATTAACCACAATCACATTATAAATGTTGATTTATTAGTCAAGATTTTATGTAATTGATGTAAAAAAAAAATCACCTCAGTTTAAGAGTTTAAACCTGCACTATAAACCTGGTATAAACTATATAAACTATAAAGACTTAAGTCTTAAATGCAGAGGAATGTTATTTGAATATAGAGGCAAGCCTATTCAATGCTGATAACTGCACGTTTCATATTAAGATAATTATACAATATGTTGCAGAAAACCCAAATTTCCAATAATCCATGTTCCAACCAGACAGAAAGCAGTCACATTACATATTATAAGGCTTGCACCAACATTAAAAGGGCCATAGAGTCCACTCCAAGTTAACAGAGCTGAGTAAAAAATGTATGGAGACATTCAGTTCATATCATATATAATAACTTTTAGTTTTAACAAAACAAGTGCCACATGTGCCACACAACACTAAAAGACTCCGAGACCAAAATATTTGATGTGTCAGAAACGTGTAGTGTATTGATGTGGACAGATCTCCAAAAGTCACTCTTTTCAACATTTAAGACACGTAAGATACACAATTTAAACAAAAACCATAATCCCCCATATAATTCCATACTCTGAAAAAAATCAGTTGTGTATGCAAAGCTGGTATAGACAAGTAGGTTTGTGCTCTATGATGATTTTCAAGTTTTTTTTTTTAGCTGTTTAACTGGATTTTCTTGCTGTTTCTTTCCCTTCCAAACTAAACTAAGTCCTCAACAGTTCTGGAGGTGTACTACTGCATGTCTACCAAATGAAGAGATCATGCTTTAGAGATATTAATAACAGATCATGAATGTAGTGTGCAGGATTGATATACATTACTTAAAAAAAAAAAAATTCTATAAATTTCAAGTTTTCATTCAAAGTATTTTTTTTGCATTGCTACTGTAAATGGTGAAACCTGATATCTTTCATCATTAATGGGAAAATGAAACTAAAATACTATTTGCACGTAGTAATCCTGAGCTTATCAAACCTCCAGGCTAACACATGCAAACCTGCATGATTTCCATTTTGAAAATGTGTATATATATAGGAGCTCAAAATAAAGTCAAATAAAAGAATCTAATCCCTGAATTTTTACCTGCAATAGGGCCCCAATACTAATGTTCCTTCTTAGGCCTGAAAAACAGCTTCTTAGTAAGCATGGACGCAAAGCAAGGCACTTGTTTTTTGCCTAAAGCAGAGCGATCCTTGGAGTTTCCTACGCTGCGGAAGGAAACCTTCCTGTTAACAAGCATCAGGATATCAGTGAACTCCAGTGTGGACCCATAACGCTTGAGGATTTCACACAGATCCTGGATGTACCACGAGCCATTCACCGTCTCACGATGAGAGTAATATCCTTAAAAATAAGAAGAAAATGTCAGTGACTGCTTTAAGACATTACTGTAAAATCAAGGATGTAATTTAATCCAGTATGTAAAAGTATAACGTTAGAAAATCTTGGTTAAAGAAAGCAAGCAAACAAAAACAAAGCACTGACCTTCAGCTACTGAGTAGCACATAAGAAAATCTGCTCCTGCTGGAAGGGTGCAGAGCGCCCCCGCATCTACAACCACATCATTGACTGTCTGACTGTCCACCACATCCATTGGTGTCACAGCTTCATCATGTTTGTCACCACGACAAGCCTTGTGTTCAAAGAAATTCATGCATTTACAAGCAGCATGAAATCTGTATCCATACTATATATTAAGGACATTTTGTGGAAGAAGGACAAATTACCTGCAAGATGAAGATCTTGGGTTTCCCTACAAGGCTACGGCATTTATCCCCCTTGAACAAATCAGTGATTTCTTGAATTTCAATCTGCCCATCGTAGGCATAGATGTGACCATTTTCCCCATGACTTAAAAAGACACAGACAAAACAGTCTGCATCTACATGGTTAGCAGCAGCAGCTGAAATCAAAGGAATATTCTGGATTAAACAGAGCCTACAACTTTATTTGGAGCACGATATGGCATGCTGTTGATTACCACAGAACTTTTTTTTGTACTTTTCCCTCAAGTTATAAAAACACTTTGATGCATTTACATTAATGATGAGGTTGATTCTAGCACACCAGTCAGCGCTATAGCTATAATTAGAATTTTGAAACAGTATTACAACGGCATTTTTCCCATATTTATTCTAGTGCTGACTTCAGTTGTAAGTATATTAATGTAGATATGTTTTTCAAATTGAGAGAAGAGTGCCATTTGTTTGTGGTAATCAAGAGTAGAGCCTGGAGAATTAATCTTGTTCTCCCAGAATTGTAACTTTTAAACTATATATAACAACAAAAACAATATCTGTGAATATTGTAAAATAATTAAATCACACACATACACATACAAATAGATGCATATGTGTGAAATAATAAAAACATGTAAATAGTGCCAAAGATGCTGTTGATTAGCTGCTGTGTTTAACTTGGGATATTTAAGTTTGGCTCCCATTTCTCAAAACATGCATTAAAGAGAAAATATTGAGGCACCTTCTCTGATTTTGGATAAAACGTCTTCCCGTTTGTAATCATCATAAGCCTTCACTTCAAAACCCAGATCTTGAAATCTGACAACAGATATAAAAGAAAATGTACAAATTAGTTATTGTTCTGTTACTTTAATAAAAGACAAGAAAACCGTTTCTTCATCAACCAACACACTGTGACTCATAGTCATGTTTGTGTAGCAAACACAGATGTCAATGACAGTGGTCATGTGATACTGTTATTCTCTGGTGTGTGTGTGTGTATGTATATATGTATATATATATAAAATCTTTTGAGCACTATAATTATGTATTTTTGATTACTTGGCCAAATACCTTCTAACAAGGTTCTGCCCGTCTGCATTTGTGCCAGAGCGGCTGTTCAACATGAGCTGCCAGTAAAAACGTTCATGGTTAAAGATCAGAGCCATTCCTCGCTTCTTGTGGTCCATCTTATACTCCTCATTAGGATCCAGACTGAATACACTGACAAATGAGATATAAAATCATATAAATATAAAAATGAGAAATATAAAATATATGAATGAGAGTTACTTAAACTCAAAACTGTACAATTTCTACATGTTGCAATGTATCATAAGGTTTTACCTTTGATTAAAGCTATCAGTTACTGTTATGTTCTCTCTGACTGAAAGAAAAGACAAGATCAACACAAACCACTAAAATTTGATTTGCAAAGCAAGAATATGAAATATGCAAATGTTCAGAGGATGTATTCAAGCCACAAAGATTGAAACCACAGTGAAAGACATTGGGCTAACTGTGGTCTAAGGGGTGTAGGCCTACCTATTAGAAAGAAGACCTAAAGTTCAATGAACACACTGAGGTCAAGCTTGTATTGTTTGTTGAGCACCTGGTCATGCTGGATTTCAATGGCTTTACAACCAGTTTGTCAAGCATTGCAGTCAACATAGGCAAATTCTATATTTACACTGTACAGATCCTTCTCTCTCGGATCATACACGAGTTATAAACTAGATTCCTTTCTACCTGTCTGTCCCGCTAAAGCGCTGTCCTTCTCCACAGCTCCTAAGGAGAACAAAGAAACATATTAGGGACTTTAATAGCATATGGATTGAGATATTGAGTTAGAAGAGTCCGGTTGTAAATCATATTTGGTGTGTATGATCATGAATACTTGTGATTCATGTTTCGACAAATACCACCTACTTCAGGTGCAAGAATAAGGAAATGAAACCAACAGTGTCTCACGAACAACATTAACGGTGTATAAATATTTAGCTACTTTTCTTACAGAATAACTAGATAAACACCTTACCAGATCCATCGCTCTTGACGTGACTTGCCATCGCTGTTGCAGCGGAGAGAATCTGTGCGAACCTGTGGAAGGCTTTAACAACAAACTAACCACAGCGAACACAGAACAATCGACTAGTCACCAAACGCAACAGTTTAACCTATGGAATGGCACTGAAACGTTAACCAATCACAGGCCAGTACAACCTTAACCAATCACAGGTCGGTAAAATGTCAACCAATCACAGGCGGTCTGTCGCGATCGAACCTTTGGTCGGACTGGTCGGACTCGGTGAAGTTGGTTACAACTTCCGCTTTAAATTCTTTCTTTCTTTCCTTCCTTCTTTCTTGAGAAGGGTCTGGCTGCAGCTTGGCGCTTGCACTCTCAGACACTTGCACTCTTAGACTTGCACTCTCAGACACTTGCACTCTTAGACGTGCACTCTCAGACACTTGCACTCTCAGACACTTGCACCCTTAGACTTGCACTCTCAGACACTTGCACTCTTAGACTTGCACGCTCAGACACTTGCACTCTTAGACTTGCACTCTCAGACACTTGCACTCTTAGACTTGCACTCTCAGACACTTGCACTCTTAGACTTGCACTCTCAGACACTTGCACTCTTAGACGTGCACTCTCAGACACTTGCACATTACCATAAAGTTGAACTGATTTCAACTCTCCTTGACGCCCTTGCCGGCCAAGATGCGCCTCGCTGCTCCTCGCCGCCTTTCGCCACCAGCTCACATTGAAAATTAATGTCTTTCGGTCACTTTGACGCTCTCGCCGCCGTTAGACGCCGCACGTTAGACGTGCACTCTCAGACACTTGCACTCTCAGACACTTGCACTCTCAGACACTTGCACTCAGACAATTGCACTCTTAGACGTGCACTCTTAGACACTTGCTCTCTCAGACACTTGCACTCTTAGACGTGCACTCTCAGACACTTGCACTCTTAGATGTGCACTCTCAGACAATTGCACTCTTAGACGTGCACTCTTAGACACTTGCTCTCTCAGACACTTGCACTCTTAGACGTGCACTCTCAGACACTTGCACTCTTAGACGTGCACTCTCAGACACTTGCACTCTCAGACCCTTGCACTCTCAGACACTTGCACTCTCAGACACTTGCACTCTCAGACTTGCACTCTCAGACACTTGCACTCTGACTTGCACTATCAGACACTTGCACTCTTAGACGTGCACTCTCAGACATTTGCACTCTCAGACACTTGCACTCTCAGACACTTGCACTCTTAGACGTGCACTCTCAGACACTTGCACTCTCAGACACTTGCACTCTTAGACGTGCACTCTCAGACACTTGCACTCTCAGACACTTGCACTCTTAGACGTGCACTCTCAGACACTTGCACTCTCAGACACTTGCACTCTTAGACGTGCACTCTCAGACACTTGCACTCTCAGACACTTGCACTCTCAGACTTGCACTCTCAGACACTTGCACTTCCGCTAGCGACGTCACTTGCAGTCTTTTTTATTTTGTTCTATTTATTTATTCTTTTTGTTCGAATCTCTCAACATTTTACAACAGTAGCCAGGTGGTGTAAACAAGAAAAAAATTTATTTTATTTATTTATTTAGTCATTTAGCAGAAGCTTTTATCCAAAGCGACTTACAAATGAGGACAACAGAAGCAATCAATTGTAGTATTAAAACAACTAAAAACAGATCCAAAACTAAAAGCTAAAATTTTATA